TCCCGTAATGCCGGCCCCTTGCATCAACATCCAGGTAGAGCAGGGTTAAAGTTATTGTCAGGGTTTGAGTAAAACCTCTGGCACGGAGATCTCTAACCCTCCTGAAACTTAGCGGAAAGCCACCTCAATTACCGGGGTACCTGTCCGCCCTACACCGTGAACCCACAGCGTTTGCGCTCCCCGTTACACTAATCAATCGATGGCAAGACGACCTGCGCTGTATGCATTCCCACAAAGTTCAGGACAAATAGACGCCTTTAACTTCGTAGCTAGAACAACAGCCATCCGTGCCGGAAGCAACACATGCGGGGCACTGATCGCAGCCTGGACTTCCAACGAGAACTCAGTCAATGGGTTTTTCGATCTTGCGCAGGCATACAGAGCCCTGCGCAATTACCTCCGGACTGACGTCACCGGTGTTTGATTGTCCCCTGTTCCATGTGGCTTCTCCTTGTTTTTGGTCGCTCATTTTGTCCCTTACGAAGGACTTCATACAGTGTTCAAAAGCTCACATAATTGGGGTCATAATTCTTGTGAGTGAAGAATCTTCTTTGTCGCTAGTGCTTTGTGTGACTAGCACACAGTGACTAGGGCCAACTTCTTTGAATAAATTGAAAGAATATATCCAGAAAAAACAATTTTTGAAAAATGAACGGGAACTCGGGACCATATAAGTACACACTCAGAAAATATATTTGGTAGTGAAATCGCTGTGAAATTCAGGCACACTAGTGCCGCACGCAGTGCGGCCAGCAAAATTGAATTTTGTGTAATTTTTTGTTTCTTAGCAATGCAATAAATGTACTTTATTCATCGCCCGCTCCTTTCTCCCAATTGTTATTGCCCGACAGGTGCATAGAAGTGATGCATATCGGGTCACAGAAACAAACACGCTATGCTCAGTCTGTAAACACAAGGTCTTTCTCTTATCTTAAACTCTATTTTGAATCTTGAGTGGTCTAGCGCATTGTAGCCTATGGCGTCTTCGCCATGGTGTGGTGATTTTTCGGGAAGAATCCTCTCGCGGTAAAATCGATAATATTCGACCGGCTATTGATCAAGCCGCAGGCGTCAGCAAAGGCGTTCCACGTGCTTGGTGCTGCAGCACGCGCTGGTTATCCATCTGATTTTACGTGCCCACCCCACGGCCGGATTTGTTTGCTGTCACATTTCCCTTTCGCCGTATGCCTTAACTCCAAACCATTTCCGTTTCATATAACATCTTCAACTTTCTACGAACGAATAACCTCAGGGAACAGCCAGTCAGCAACTGAAAGCCAATAGACGGAAAGGCCTTGAACGTCTTATTGCCAGAACGCTCAGGACTTCAGGCCGCTGCCGTGGAGAAGCCCTGCCTGGCACCGAATACCTCACTTTTAGTCCCTATGCTGTGCGCTATTTGAGTACTTTATTTAATATTCTTTTACTTATAAGGCCATTGCGGAATTATGTTTATTGTTTTATTCGTCATATTTAGAAATTTCATGAACAGTAAATTATGGCTTTTCCTATTTGTTGATATTAAATAACTTCTTGAAGGAAACAAACATGAGAAATTCGGAAGTTCGGCAAAAACAACGGAAAATCGCGAAAAGTCGGTCCACGGTAAATGAGAGTGCGTCCTTAACAAAACTAGTTATCGTTACATAATTAAACATGTGAAGTTTTGTTATTGGTTTTTGGTTGCATTTCGTGCACCTCGGTCGTTGTGTTTCCCTTATTTAGTTAAGTGACAATGCAGGAGATGAAACCCTTCAGAATATTAACCATCATCATTTCTAAATACAATAAATAAAAAGAACAAAAACGCTTCCACAATAGTTTATAATCAAAACGAAGCTAACATGACGCGTCCTATCAGCGCACCGCGCGTTGGCGCAAAGTAGCGCAACCGATGGTAGGCAGTTCAAGCCGCTACCGTGACCCAACACAGAAACCACACAGAATTACCTATTGGTTACGGAAAAATCTACATTTCAAATTTCCTTACCATTCTGGATTTCGTTGCTGCATACCAGGGAGTCAAATCGAAGCAGGAGGCTTTCGAGAAGAACAGGGGCTTTCTTGGCAAATTCATGACACGCAGCCTTCAGAACGTCTGCCTTCCTTCGCAGTGTGCTGATGAGCAGCTCTTCGGTATCCTGACGTCTTCGTTCCTCTTTGGAGTTTAGGTCATTGAATTCAGTTGACACATACTGTGGAAGGCCCAACTTTGGATGCAGTTTCGAGTAATTTTGTTCCTTAACGTAAGGGCGTTCATTTACATGCAAGTACATATACACAAAAGAGGATCATCAATGAAGAAATCGTAGGCCGAAATATCCAGTTCTGACATGTTAGCAACCATATCCAATCTCAAGTGTAGCAAGTCCTGAGAATTGAACCCACGACCTGTGTGCTCAAACGGGCGCATATCATCTAGCTCTTCGAACTGTTTCTTAGGAATTTCTTTCAAATTCAACGGCCAAGTGAGCAAATTAAATAGAGAGACATCGATGGGCTCGCCTCTGTCTGGATTTATTACCGAAGCAGTTCTGCAGAGGCTTGAACAGCTGGTCATCAGATTAGAACTCCGACGTTCTGGATCAAATGTCGCAATGACACAGTCATCATACTTAAGAGGGGCTCCTGCTACCCTTAATTCCCTATTGATTTCCATCCTTCTTGGCATCCAGTTTACCATGGATGAAGTCCACAATCAGTTGCCCTCCCTTGACGTCCAAGTTAAAAAATTGGCAGACGGAAAGATATGAACCATGGTCTACCGTAATACAACTAACACTTAGCGCATCCACTTCCGATGGCAGTGCAGCGACGACAGTGGAAAGCAATAGCCAACGGTTATCTTAAGTCCTTTATCCGCAATTGCCTCAGGAAGCCTCAGTTGCAGTGGTCGAGCGGAGTAAAGCCAAAATTCTGGCTCACAATTCCCTACGTGAAAAACTTTTCAGGGACAATGGCACAAATCGTAAAACCTTTTTCGGATCAGTGTGGCTCACAAGCCAGATTCGATCAACAGACAGCAAATTATGAGGCCTAAAGACCCGCTTGCCACGAGGTTGAATGAGCGCTTGGTCGCAATTAACCGCAAGAGCAAGCTGCCTATGGTCTACGACACAAACAGACAGCAAGGAATGGAACCCGAAGAGCAGTTGCCAGTAACCGGACAGTTAACAGTAGTCAACAGCATACCGTGCAAACATTGAGATTCCAGTTATGTTTGTGAAACGAGCAAACGCCTGGATATAAGATTGCACGCCCACCAACTTGCAGTTAACCGTAGGGACAGGCTGTATTTTGTCTATGATCATGTTGAGCAGCTGAACAGCGATTTCTTTTATAAGAAAGCAAGAGAGATCGGCAGAGCCAGAGGATGGTAAGGCTAGTGCTCGAAAATTTTTCCTTGGCGAGCAAACTGATCCGAGTCATAAGATTAAACCACGTTTACAAGGCTCACGTCCGCTCAGAGCAGAAAAATAAGGCAGATGAAAGAAATTGCAGGACCTACAGCCGACACCCACGGAGAAAAAGTGACATGGATGGGGATGTTCTATTGAGGACGACAGAACCTTAAAAATCGCTCGGTTCGCCGCCTGACGATGGGGAGGCCCACGAACACGCTGACATAACGTCAACTACGTCAGCCGCCAAGGGGAAGCAGGAGACAAAAATCCGCCATTGGTCGATAGTGGAGGGGTCAAAATCGACCAACGGTCAACGGGCGAGTGAACTTTCGTGCATTGAGCACGGTTACAATACGAGGGTTGCGGCGAGGCACATTAATGTAAGGCCTGCAAAAAAGCCCGCTCCGCATAGTCAAGATAAAAACCAGTGTGTTCTTGGTACTTCAGTACAAATGCAATTAGGTCCAAAAACTTGCGAGATGAGAGATGATGAACGTGATAAATATATGTGTGCGTATGTCGGTCAAAAAGGTCAATTCCTGGGTATCCGTATCAAGAAACATAAATGAGTTTTACGTCGCAAGGACCCTCTGTACCTCGTGATCACACATGCAATCGAGTGCGACCATAGGTTTAATTGGGAGGGCATGGAGGGCATGCCCAACACAAAACCAGCGCGTGAATTTCTCGAGGTTTGGTACTCTACGGCGGGCAGTATCAACCGGCACATCTACTTGAACGAGCAATAAGGTGGTTTGAGGTCAAAACTAACTGTACCCTATTCACACATTAATGACCCCTAACTTGGTCAGATCCACATCTTCCGACCCACCCTCGCCGCCCTCGCCTTCCCAAGCGCGCGCCACCCACAAACACGCGGGTGCACAAACCATGACTGGCCTCACACGGCACTGGTATAACTGTCCTGATCAATTAAACTGCCCTTTGTAATCCTTCTCTCTCAGTTCCCTTATTTCGCCTGATAAAGGACACGTGTCACGAGTTCGAAGATTCACAAATACATCTTGATTTTTCCGAAGAACCTCTTCTTTTTATAAATGTATGTATATAATTATAGTGGTAGAAGAATGCACTATATCTACGGCATAGGGTAATAGGGTGACAATATGGTGTATCCTGTAATATACTGTTGACTGAATGTTGGTAGTTTAAATAATAATTCGCAGTTATCTTCCTTTGGCTGATGGAATTAGGTCAAAATATTTCTTTCAAAACTTTATATAAACTGATTCACTCCAGGTTCGCGATTAAGTTCTGAGGAACTTAAAAGTTAATGGTAGATATGAGTACCAGTGTATGATTTGATGTTCTGTGACTGCATTGTTTCATTCGCGGCTTTTTAAACGTACCCTTTGCAGATCAAATTGCTTCAGCTGTGCACTGGACTCTGTATTTATGGCTTCCAGGGCCGCCTCACATTTTCTTTGTAGGCGTCCATAGAGAACGTTGAAGAATAACTTGGCTAGGCGGGTGCATAACACCTCCAGACGAGACATTTGCTCCCGAAATTCTGAAAAGCAGAGTTTTCTGTTTAAGTTAATTTCACTTGCAAAGGCAAATTCCTATAATTAAATGCATTGCACTGAAAAAAAACGTTTCCCTTTTGGAACAAAGACACGGAAATTACTGTTTGGCAACCAATAAGTTAATTCGTATGTTTTACTCCTGGTTTTACCACTGTTCCCAAGAGATGACAGTGTCGGCGTTCACCAATCGTAAGTCGCCAGTTTTCAACGCAGTCAGTGAGGATGGTGCCGAGGCAGGTTGAAATGCGATCAGATGGCCACTTAACAGAAGACATTTCGGTTCCGAAGGATGGGCAGACAAAACCACTACTCGAAACCACTGACTGCAAATCGACTCTACTTGGTGGATGCCTCTTCTTCTCTCGATTCATGGATGACTTCGATGTCCCTCGCGTTGATTGGACAATTGCCCTGAAGGACTTCCACTTTTCGTTTCAACTCTGATGGTATCCGTTGTAGGGACCTCTGTCTCGTGTCTCTGATGGTTACTCCTATAGCCAGTCGTACGTTTATATGGTAAACATTGAAGGTTAGTGCCTGCCGGTTAATGATTTGTCCCACGATGAAGTGCCCTTCCAATCCTCACATACTTCCATCGATAGGACGCTCTTATCTCATGCGTATTTTCCTGCCACGAATGTTAGTTTTTTCTCCTAAAATATCCGCACATCCCATTCAAAGTCCTAAAGTTTTCGAAAAGGGCCCTAATAGTTTTTTTCACTGTCTGCTACTTTTTCGTTTTGCTTCACCTCTCTGGTTCGTGTCATATGAAGTCCCCAATAAACTGGGGCACTGTTCCTGATATAGCAACTGCATAACACCCCTCCGCTCTAAGGTGTTGCTGTTGTGTTTTTTAGACAGATTTGTCCCACGCCCTCAGAATTAAAGTTAAAATTTGACATTTTTCAGATCACAGCATGCACTGAAACAAAAAGAGAATTCAAAGGTACACACCTACATTTCCCTCAAATAAACTGAAATGAACCAAATCATTCTACTGCCAAAACCGTAAAGTCTTCAGTCAGCGAATTCTCTATTGAACAGTGAAGATTTGAAACACGTATGTATGAGAAACCGTCCCCATCAGGTTAGGCCTAGCACCCAACTGGAGTTGGCCCAATCGTATTCACCCACATCCGTTGTCTACTATTAACTAGATTGACCCTTATGGCGAGAAATGTGAACGCGTGGAAAAGATGACAGTGTTACAATGTGACTGACTGCTTTGGGCTTAGACTGAGAGGTTGAAGTTTTTTTCAAATCCCACGTATCTTGGTAGCGTTTTGTAGCTTTAAAATAGCAAATAAATTAAAGAAGAGTCACTGTTTTCAATACCAAATTAAATCGCCCTTCCGACAATCATGAGTAACCGCGTGCGCTTAAGGCATCCTCGGAATTTCAGAATTTTGCATTTGGGAAAAGTGGTAATAAAATACGGAAATAAATGCCGCAACCGCATAAGGACTTTGAGATGTTCTTTTGTTGTCGGCTGATAGGCAAAGCTATGCTCTAATTTAAAACAGCCTATGTTAGGGTTTTCACCGGGAACGTATCTACTGATGAACCATGGATCTCTACTCATCTCTATTAAAGATGGACGCCGCGTCAGCACCTAAGATTGTAATTCGAAACAGGAAACAACTATAACTGTTCACTAGACAGCTTACAGTACAATACCAATACAATTGAAATGAGACAAGTCATAAGGACTAGATGGACTACTAAGAATAACTTATCCGTAGAGTTCTCGCCATTCCTTGGACCGTCAGTTCAAATAGGTTGCCTGTAGCTAATATTGCCGGCAAAGACAAGGGAGACTTCTGGCTTATCAGCCGTCGTCAGCGACTCATACCCAGAATAAAGTGGCGTCCAACCCGAGCCCCAAACTCGCAACCTCTTTGATAAGAGTCAAACAAAGCTTAAAACAAGCTCGTGGCTCAATGGTTTGGGCTTTTGACTCTGACCAAAGAGGTCGCGAGTTCGGGATTCGGGTACGATGCCACTCGGTATGACTGGCTGGCGACGGTTAATAAGCCAAAAATGGCCATTCCAGTCTCCCTTGTCCTTGCCGGCAATACTATCTCCCTATACCACCAGCTGCTACGACTGTCAAGAAATCTGTCAAGGCCCAGGCAGAGCTGGAAAGATGAGTTCTGATAGCGGTTGGCTTAACGCACATTAACGAGGTTGCCCGTAGTTGATGAACCTAATAGTGGACGCCCTAGCCTTTTGTAAAGCAAGCAGTCGGTTGGCTACAGAAAGCTTTAAGCACGTGCAGTAGACTGTTCTGCATGTAGAACCACGGACATCTTTATGGTGTGGGTAATTAAATATTTATACCACGCGGCTGGTACATTAAAGGTTTGGA